GTCCCTAAGAGGGAGTGCAACCCCGTTCAGGACAAGGTTCAATTCACCCTCTCCGAAGCCCGATCCGCCAACCAACAGGACCTCCGTCTTGTCTGGATTGAGCTTCAGTTTAGAGGTCTTGAATAGAAATGTCAGGGATGACAAGAACATTAAAGGTACTAAAATTAGGGATGAAAATTATAAATTGCAAGCATTCGCAGATGATTTGGTTTTTATAATAGAGGAACCTTTTGTAACAATCCCTAAATTTTACAATGGATTGAAGAATATGGTGAGGTTACGGGGATGAAAATAAACAAAGAAAAAAAGAAACTTTTAGTTAAAAATCTTACGCAAGATCAGAAAAAAAGACTCCAAGAACAAGTGGACTTGCAGATTGTTAAAAAGGTCAAATACTTGGGAATCTATCTTACAGCTAAATGCACAACTTTGAAAGAAGACAATTATGATAAATTATTGAAGGATATTAAAGGTGATCTGGAAAAATGGGCCAATTTACAATTGTCTTTGATGGGAAGAATAGCACTTGTTAAAATGAATATATTACCTAAACTTCTGTATTTGTTCCAAATGATTCCTGTAAAAATTGATAAAAAATTCTTTGATGACCTATATTTTCAAATTTCGAGATTTATCTGGAGAAAAAAGAAACCAAGTATTAAATTAAAAATGCTTCAGGAAACCAAAAAGAAAGGGGGTTTTGGTCTTCCCGATTGGATGTTGTACTATCAAGCGTCTGTTTTAACTTGGCTAAAAGAATGGATAACTTTGCGAAATAAGAGAAATTTATATCTTGAAGGTCATGATTTGCAAATGGGTTGGCATGCTTATATGTGGGACGAGAAGGTTAAGTCTCATGGGACTTTTTTAAGTCACTTTATGAGAAGATTGTTAATGTCAGTGTGGGAAAAGTTACAGTAAAAATTGTATAATAAATTACCAAGATGGCTTTCACCTATGGAAGCTTTTGCGTATCCAAATGTATTGAATTTTGAAGGGATCATAAGATATGATGATATTTTGGATAAGGATGGAGGTCTGAAACTAGATCAAGAATTACAAGAACAGGGACTTAATTTCTCTTGGTGGTATAAGGTGCAGATGCAATCAAGATATGCTAAAGACTGGAAAATATGGGGGTTTTATAAAGACCTAACAGCCTTTGATCAAGTGATGCTGAAAACAGATGAGAAAATGATTAAAAGAATGTATGAGTTCTTACTTGGCAGGAAAATGAAAGGGGAACAGGTTAAGGGAACTATGATAACATGGGCACAAAATTTTGGATATAATATTGAATTAGAAAAGTGGCAAAAGCTATGGGAGAGAAATATTAAAGTAACTTTAGCAACTTTGTATAAAGAAAATTTATATAAAATGTTTTACAGATGGTATTTGTCACCAAGTTGATTACCTAAGATGTTTCCAAATATGTCAAACGGATGTTGGAAATGTAAACATGATGTGGGTACTTCTTATCATATGTGGTAGACCTGTGAATATGTGAAAAAGTATTGGATTAAAATACATAAATGGCTCGAGGAAATGCTACAAAAGCCCTTAGCTTTTAAACCTGAAATTTTCCTGTTAGGCATTATACCGGAAAATATTAGCAAACAAGAAATGTATTTGATGCTACATTTAATCACAGTGGCGAGGACTGTGCTAGTTCAATACTGGAAGAGTGAGGAACTACCCACAGAGGAACTTATTTTAAAAAAGATTCTGGACTATGTAGAAATGGACAGGTTGACTCTATTACAGAAGGAGAAAGAAGATACTGACTTCTATCAAACTTGGGACCTTTTTTATGATTGGCTGGAGAAACGGGACTTGACTTAGATTTAAAGATGTGTTTAAATTTTTATAAATCAATTTGAATATGATTGTAGAATGTTAAAAAGATATGTTATAGGGGGCTGACCCAGTATGTCTGATGTATTTGATGATTTATTTTTTTAGTTTTTAGTTTAAAATCTTAATAAAAATCTTTATTAAAAAATAAAAAAAGGAATGCATCTGGATCCATTTGACTCCAGGGGTGGACCATCGCATTAGGACCTGTACCCTTCCAGTGGGAGAGATCAGCCCCAAGCTCAATCCTCACACAGGAAGTGGTCTGACCATGACAAAGGAGTTCAGGTCAAATTTCTCACTTCCTGTGCACCCACTTCCTGGCCTGTTGAGAAAACCAGGTCTAGTATGTGACCTCATTCATGGGTTGGGCTGGTGACATGTTGAGGCAGCCCCAAGGCTGCCATGGAAGCCATGAAGTCCTGAACTGCCCTGGGCAGAACCCCCTTGCGTGGAGGTTGAAGTCCCCCAGGACCAACATCCTGGGGGTCCTCAACACCCAGTCTGAGTTGAATTCTATCAGATCAGGCAGGGAGTCTGCTGGGCAGGAGGGTGCCCAGTACACCTGCAGAGTCCCTAATCTGTCTCAACAGCCCAATACCAGGTACACACACTCTAGGCCTGGTTCCAAAGGAACAGGAAGCCTCAGGAGGGAAATAGAGGCTCGGTAAACCAGGGCAACCCCCCTCCCCTCCCCTGTGTGTGTGGCCGGTGTTGCACCATTTAAACGGGGGGGGGGGATGTGTGAAGGAGACTTCTCCCCCTTCTCCCACCCAGGTCTCAGTAATACATGCCTGGTTTGCCCCTCATCTAAGATCAAATCATGTCTAAGGGATTTTTATTATGGACAGACCTGACGTTTAACAGCAACACCGTCAAGCCTGAGGGCCAGAAGATGTTTCTACCAGGAACCTTCTGGTTGGGAGAATAACCAGAAGAGGAGACAGGTATCTTCTCCTATAATGGCCTGTTAGACCCTCCCAACACCATACCTTCCCCTGCTCATCACCACTGCAGAGATGGCACCCATGCACTCCCAAGGTAAAGCCATCCCAAATTAAAACCAGAAAATATAACACGGTTGTCCAAAAAAAGCAAAAGGCTCCATTGCTCTCCCAAGGGGAACCCTCCACCAGAGCTCGGCTGGAGAGGGGGGTGCGGGGCAAGGGCAGCCCTCAGGTTGGAGACGCTGCTCGGGATGGAACCCAGGACCTTTTGGCCTGCCAAGCAGGGGTTCTACCACAGAGGTACAGCCCCTCTCCAAGCACAGCATTTTTCATTTCTCTTGCCGTCTTCATGACATCAAATGACAGTTTCTGATTATTTTCCATTCAGGCATGAAAAGAATTTATTGGCGCTCCATCAAATAGCAGCAAACTCAGCCTGCAAGTGTAAGTGAAGCTTTCAGAACGGAAGCGCTGGAATTTCCACGGCTCTGGGGAAAGAGGAAGCTGGCCAGGAGCAACTCTCACCACGGCCCCACCAGGGGGTCATCTGTGGAGTACTGCGGGTGAGAAAGGGAACATGGCCCCTCTCAGCCCTTAATCAGAAACCTGGGACCTGGGAGGATGAGTCCCAACTGAGCCAAATGGTCTGGCTCTTCAGCCAAAATCCAGAACAGATGGGCAAGCGTATTCCCGCCACCTGGTAGGATGAGTCCCACCCAATCACCCCCCTCCCACCCAAGCAAAAGCAGGCAAAAAATCGGGAAACACCAGCTGGTCTTTGCAGGAGAGGCTTCAGCTGCAGTTCTCCTCCTCGTGCCACTCTGCAGCTTCCAGCCCCTTCACCTTCGCATCTCCCAAGGACTGAATACAAAAGCTGAGCTCCAGCAGGAAGTATTGAAGTATCTTCTTTTCCGCCTGTGCCCTGGAGGACTAGCCTACGAGTGCTGCAGGGAAGGGGTGGGAAAGGAGATATAGAAATTGCAGTGGGGATTAGAAACAGGAGAAGGAAAATCCATGCTTGGAAAGTGCAGGAAGGAAAGAAGATGGGGGCTGCTGACTTATTTGAGGGCTTTTCTGATCAGCCCTGCTCCCCTTGCAGCCCCTCAAGCCACACCCATGCTGATGGCCCTTCAGGACAGCCAGTGAATACAGCCAGAGGACGGGGGTAACTGCACACTCACACCCCACCCCTGGGATCTTCTGCGGCCCCACAAAGCCAACCTATTCTACTGAGTGACCCAAAAGAGAGGCTCAGGAAGACCCACTCTGCAGGTCTCAGCCTGGGCATTTAGGGTGCAATTTGGGGGGTGTGACAGGAGCAGAACAAAAGCAAGAAGAGGGGCAGGCCAGTCCATGCCGGGGCAGTCTGGCTGCACTTCTCCGGGTCTGAGCATTGCAAAAAATTCCTCATCACTGACCTTTCAGTTTGCAGTTCAGCCTCTTTTCCACCCTCACCCCTGACTGCAGGCCCACCCTCAAAGCCAGACATATCTCTGCAAACGTGCACAAAGTGCCCCAATACACCGGGGGGGGGGCTCCTTCAGACACGCGTCCCCCACTGGACAAGGATCTGTGGAACGGCAGGAGAGAAATGAGGACCAGCGACTGGGGAGGTGGCAGGAGAGGCCGTACCTGCAGGTTACAGGGCGGGAGACGCTGGAGAGAGAGAGAGACAGAGACAGAGACAGAGACAGAGAGAGAGAGAGAGAGAGAGAGAGAGAGAGAGAGAGAAGATGAAAGAGAGTTTAATGCATGGTGGTGAGGCTCATTCCTCAGAACCACAGCGACATCCTTCCCTACTGGACCTGGAACCGCTCCTGAAACCAAAAAACTGACAAAGTCTTTCCTTGGCTCAGCCAAATCCACCATTTTTGCAATACACAAACTGCCTTCCCAAGAAACCTGCTGTACTGAGAAGGCCAATGATTTCAAAGGGGAATTCCAAGCAAAGCCACTCACAGAGGTCTCCTGGTCTTCAGGGAGAGAGAGGGCAGTGCCGCTGGGGACCCCCCTCCAGTGTTCCTCGACACCCCCTGGAACCTGCCTTGGACTTGGGGAAGGCCCAACTTCTGGAGTCAAGAGTCACCCCACCTTCATAGAAAGGAAACCAAACTGAATCCAGCAGCACCTCTGAGAGGGCTGGAGATGCATCTCCTTCCCTGGGCCTGCCCCCCAAGGTGCCCTCCAGTGCCCCCTTACCTTTCTTGCTCCTCAGGTAGAGGGAGAGCCCCACGGCCAGATAGACCATGCCCAGCAGGGCCCCAGTGACCCCTGTCCACACTTTGCTCCTGGCAGACGCGGAAGTCCGTCGCTCTGAGGAAAGAAAAGGGGAGACTCATGTGAGAGTCAGATCGGGGCCAGGCTTGGCCTCTTGTCCACAGGTACTGACTGGGGGCCCCAGTCCATGCGCAGCAGATGGGGATGGGGACTTTCCAGCCCCACAGCTGATATCTGGGGCTCTGGCTCAGTCTGTGAGGTCTGCATGGCTGAGTTGGTTTTTCCGTCCCTCATGAGCAGGGAAGTCCCAGACTGGGGTATTGTGAGAGGCAAGTGGGGTGCTGGATGTAGCCCCAGGATAAACAGAAAGGAGGAAAGTGTGGCTGCTGATTTCTCTTCCTGGCAGGAGAGCGTCAGCCACACCCTGATCTCCGTTGCTCCCTCCAAAGAATCCACCCTTCCCCTGCCCAGCTTAGCTCCCTCCTTTCCTTCCCCCAATCTGCCCACTGACCCAGCCAGTTCCCAGGAGTGCCCCCTCAGAGGGAAGGGGGGAGGAGGGCCGTACCCCACCGCACGATGAGGGGTGTCTTCAGGCTGGCGTGCTCCACCTGGCAGGCGTAGACGTCTCCACGCTGGGGCGTGTCCTCCAGCATCACCTGGATCTGGTATGTCCAGTCCCCGTTGTGCAACTCCTCTCCATATAAGACCCCCTCTGTTGCCCTTCGCCCGTTCTTCAGCCAGTGGATCTTGATCTCCCGGGGATAGAAACTGGCCGCGGTGCAGAGCAGCAGTGTGCGGGGGGAGAGGGGGTCGTCCTTGGTGGGGGAGACGGTGACCACGGGCTTGACTGGGGAAGAGGAGGGGGATGTGTGAGACACAAGAGGAGGGTGTGTGAGGATGCAATAGCAGAGAGGGATGGGGAAGAGGAGGGGGACTCCTGGGGCAGACTGAGGCCAGCACCTTTGATGTGGAGACTGATTGGGAGACAGTCCTTTTCCCCCCTCTCCCATAACAAACAAAACTGGGATCATCCCATGAAGTTGATGTGGGGAGTGGTAGAGCCTGTGGGAAGCTGGTGTGAAGGGTGAGGGCTTGACCTGCACTTTTTGAGGTAGGGGGGCACCAGAAAATGCTGAGCACAAAAACAGGGAGCAGGAGAGGAAGACCTACTTCCAGCCACTTTCTCTGCCCCCCTTTCCAAGACCCCATATTTCTCCCTCAAGCAACCATTCCTTCCTCCGTCCTGCCCCCACTTTGGTCTCTAGTATGGGTTGGGGGCTTTCTGCCTCCTCTGACCATCCCATTTTCGAGGAGAAATAAAGGTCACTTCTCCCAGGAATGTAAACGTAAAATCAATCTAGATAAATAAAAGTAAAATACAAATGGAGCTGGGAAGAAAAGGAAATATAGAAAAATAGAAACAGAGCCAGTCAAAAGGGGCCTCTGGGGCATCTAGTCTGACCACCGGTTCCAGCCGGTTTTGCTCACGACATGCCCACCATGTGCATGTCCAGCCTATCTTCATGGCATCTTGTGGAAGCCCATCTCATTTCCTCAGTGTCCCAACTGTCAGGAAGTGCTTCCTGGCATCTAAATGGAACCTTAGTTCCCTGAGCTTGGCTCCCTTGGAATGTGTCCTGCCTTCCTATACAGGGAATAACAGGTCCCTACCCATCTCATGTGACATCCCCTCCCATACCTGTATGTCGCCAACATATCCCATCTGAGTCTCCTCTTCTGCAGGCTGAAGAGACACAGTTCCCTCAGTCTTGCCTCATATGGCATCCCCTGCAAACTGGCCACAAACCTTGTGGCCTTAGGCTGCACTGACTCCAACATGGCTATATCCTTCCTGCAATGAGGGGACCAAAACTGAGCACAATACCTCAGTTGTGGAAGCACCAGAGTCGCATAGAGTGGCAGTAATAACCCTCTTGATCTAGAAGCCACACTTCTGGCTATGCAACCAAGGGTGGCGTTCGCCCTCTTGGCCACCGCATCACACGGCTGACTCATGTTCAGCCTGCAGGCAACCAGCACCCCGAGGTCCCTTTCACAAGTGCTGCTCTCCAGCCACTTGTCCCCTAACCTGTATTTATGACACCCATTCCTATGCCCCAAGTGCAAGACCTTGCACTTGTCCACATGGAACACCATCCTGTTGTCTTCTGCCCACTTCCATAGGCTGTCCAGATCCTTTTAAAGCTGGAGTACCTGCTCCTCAGTTGTGGCCACTGCCCCAGTGTTAGTATCATCTGTGAATTTGATCAGCAGACTGTTCACCCCCTTCTCCCATGTCATTTATGAAAAGTTTAAACAGGATCGGCCCCAGCAAAGAGCCCTGGGGGACTGCGCTTGTTACTGGTCGCCATCCCGATGATTCCCCACTAATGGTTACCCTCTGCTTTCGGTCAGTCAACCATGCCCTAATCCACCGGACAGTGCTTTGGTGTATCCCAAAACTCCTCAGTTTCTCCACCAGGATATCATGGGGCACTTTGTCAAAGGCCTTGCTGAATTACAGGTATACCACAACCACTGCATCCCCTCCATCTAGCCATCTCAAAACCTTGTCATAGAATTCCACAAGGTTTGTCTGGCAGAACCTGTTCTTATGGAAGCTGTGTTGTGTGGCTGCCAGCCTCCCTTCCCTATCCAGCATCACCAGATCTCTCCCTATTATGAGCCTTTCCATTGTTTTTCCTACAGTGGACGTAAGGCTAACGTTAAGGCTGCAGTAGCCTTCATAGTCAATAAAAGTGTAGGAAATGCAGTACTGGGATACAATCTCCAAAATGACAGAAAGATCTCATTTCGAATCCAAGGCAAACCATTCAACATCACAGTAGTCCAAGTCTATGCCCCACCACTGGTGCTGAAGAGGCTGAAGTTGACCGGTTCTACGAAGGCCTACAACACCTTCAAGAATTAACTCCCAGAAATGATGTCCTTCTCATCATGGGGTATTGGAATACTGAAGTAGGAAGCCAAAAGATAACCGGAATAACAGGCATGTTTGGGCTTGGAGTACAAAATGAAGCAGGGCACAGGCAGGTAGAATTTTGCCAAGAGAACACGCTGGTCATAGCAAACATTCTTTTCCAACAACACAAGAGACATCTCTGCACATGGGCATCACCAGATGGTCAACCCAGAAATCAGACTGACTATGTGCTCTGCAGCCAAAGATGGAGAAGCTCTATTCAGTCAGTAAAAACTAGACCAGAAGCCGACTGTGGCTCAGATCATGAGCTTCCTGTTGCAAAATTTAGGCTTAAATTGAAGAAAGTAGGGAAAAGCACTAGGCCACTCATGCATGACCTAAATTCATCATATACTGATGAATATACAATAGAGGTGACAAAGAGATTTAAGGAATTAGATCTGATAGAGTGCCTGAAGAACTATAGAAGGAGGTTCACAACATTGTACAAGAGGCAGCAACTAAAACAATCCCAAAGAAAAAGAAATGCAAGACATAAAAATGGCTGTCTGAGGAAGCTTTACAAATAGCTGAGGAAAGAAGGGAAGCCAAAGGCAACAGAGAAAGAGAAAGATACACCCAATTGAATGCAGAATTCCAGAGAAAAGCTGGAAGAGATAAGAATGCCTTTTTCGATGAACAGTGCAAAAAATAGCAGAAAACAATAGCACAGGGAGGACCAGAGATCTCTTGAAGAAAATTGGAGATATGAAGGGAACGTTTCATGCAAAGATGGGCATGAATAAGGATCAAAATGGCAGGGACCTAACAGAGGCAGAAGAGATTAAGAAGCAGTGGCAAGATTACACAGAAGAACTGTACAAGAAAGAGCTTAACATCCCTGATAAGCACAATGGGGTGGTCACTGACCTGGAACCAGACATCCTGGACTGTGAAGTCAAATGAGCCTGAGGAAGTCTCAGCAACAACAAAGCTAGTGGAGGTGACAGCATTCCAGCTGAGCTGTTCATAATCCTAAAAGATGATGCAAGTAAAAGTGCTATGCTCAATATGCCAGCAAATTTTGATAACACAACAGTGGCCACAGGATTGGAAAAGGTCAGTTTGCATTCCCATCCCAAAGAAGAGAAATGCCAAAGAATGTTCCAACTACCACACCATTGCACTCATTTCACATTCTAGCAAAGTGATGATCAAAATCCTACAAGCTGGGCTCCAGCTGGATGTGGACTGAGAACTACCAGAAGTACAGGCAGGATTTCAAACAGGCAGAGGAACTAGAGATCAAATTGCCAACATACGCTGGACCATAGAGAAAGCTAGAGAGCTCCAGAAAAACATCTCATTCTGCTTCTTTTACTATGCTAAAGCCTTTGATTGTGTGGATCACAACAAATTGTGGAAAGTTCTTAAAGAGATGTGAGTACCAGACCATCTTATTTGTCTCTTGAGAAACCTATATGCTGGTCAAGAAGCAACAGTTAGAACTGGGCATGGAACCACTGATTGGTTCAAAATTGAGCAAGAAGTTTGCCAAGGCTGTATACTGTCCCCCTGCCTGTTTAACGTATATGCAGAGCAGATCATGAGAAAGGCGGGGCTAGATGAATCACCAGATAGAATCAAGATTGCTGGGAGAAATATCAACAACCTCAGATTTGCAGATGACACCACTCTCATGGCAGAAAGTGAAGAGGAAATAAAGAGCCTCTTGATGCGGGTGAAGGAGGATAGTGCAATAGTTGGCTTGAAACTCAACATTAAGAAAACTAAGATCATGGCATATGGTCCTCTCACTTCCTGACAAATAGATGGGGAAGAAATGGAGGTAGTGACAGATTCTATTTTCCTGGGCGCCAAGATCACCGCAGATAGGGACTGCAGCCAAGAAATTAAAAGATGCTTGCTCCTGGGGAGGAAAGCTATGGCAAATCTAGACAGCATACAAAAAAGCAGAGACATCACCCTGCCAACAAAAGTGTGTAAAGTCAAGGCTATGGTTTTCCCAGTTGCAATATATGGCTGTGAAAGGTGGACCATAAGGAAGGCTGAGTGTCGAAGAACTGAGGCCTTTGAATTGTGGTGCTGGAGGAGACTCTTGAGAGTCCCCTGGACCGTAAGTCGATCAAACCTGTCAGTCCTAGAGGAGATCAACCCTGCCTGCTCTTTAGATGGCCAGATCCTGAAGATGAAACTCAAATACTTTGGCCACCAAATGAGAAGGAAGGACTCCCTGGAGAAGAGTCCAATGCTGGGAACAATTGAAGGCAATAGAAGAAGGGGGTGGCAGAGAATGAGGTGGCTGGATGGAGTCACTGAGGCAGAGGATGTGAACTTGGGTGGACTCCGGGGGTTGGTGAAGACAGGAATGCCTGGAGAAATGTTGTCCATGGGGCCACAATGGGTCAGACGCGACTTCATGAGTAACAACAACAACAATCAATATCTGAGTTTATGCTGGAGATAAATGGGCAAGAAATGGGCACCAATTTCCCATTGTAGAGATTGTGAAAATATAAAGAAATTTTGGAGAATGGTTTTTAAGAATATCAAAACATCAATAATAAATCTGGTGACATCAGCAAAAATGATAATAGCAAAGAATATGAAGGCGAAACAAATCCTCATTGAATGGTATAGAGAAATTTGGAATATAGCCGTTAATGTGAAGTTGAAGTGGGATTAGGGTAAAAAAGGACTGAATGAGAACTAATAAAAGGGAAGGGTATTAAATCTGAATGATGAATCTGTTTATTCACTAAATGCATTTTTGGATGGAATGGGTATTCCCGAAAGGGTGGGAAACTGAAAGCTATAAGCAAAGAAGAGGAAAGAGTTGAAGGTGTAAATATACACAGCCACGGTCCTGTTGCCAGGATGCCCAAGTTGTGTTTCGTTCTCTA